TTGATGTGAGGAATTTGCTTTTGATGTGAGCAATTTGAATTTGATGTGAGCAATTTGTTTTTGATGTGAGCAATTTGTTTTTGATGTGACAGTTGTGGGTCACCGTACAATAAAGCTTGAGGTGAACTCAATCAGGTTGAGTCGATGTGGGGGCGAACTTGCCGTGGGGCGAAACTGGCAGCTACTGTACCTCACATTTCATACTCAAAAAAGAGCTAAATCATAGCTCACAAAAATAAATTATAAGGGTGAATTGCCTCACCCTGGAAAAAGAGGTTAGACTGCCTGAATACACATAGGTGAAGAAGTTGCCTCTATGGCACAAAATTGTAGTTAGATATATTGGAGGACTTGTGCATTGCACAGGGGTTTCATAAATTGAATTAAATGTTTTTAGTGGAGGGCAACTGGTTGTCACATGGACAAAACCTATTTGAATTGAACTTCTTTGTAAGAAAAACATTTCTCTACTGTAGATGGTCAAACAAGGCGGGCAAAATCATCCTCACAGCCAGTCAGTCCGGCACTTAATGAAACGTCTGATTGCATGAAGTGAAAAGGACATACCAGATATGATGATTATACTTTAGAGCAAATTTTATCATGTTGCATAATATTATTTAACTAGCCAGATTTTCTGCTAGTCAGGTTTTGGTGCAATATATTTTTCAAAGTTTTGGCTGCCTTATTACAATTCATTGATTTATCTTTCTTGTTTTGCTAGGTCCTAGTTGTTGATGCTGGAGGTTCATTAAGATGTGGCATGTTTGGGGACATGCTTGCTGGACTTGTAATCAAGAACAATTGGGCAGGAGTTGTGATGTACGGCTGTATACGAGACTCGGAAGAAATTGGAAAGATGGATGTAGGTGTAAAAGCCATAGGAACAATGCCATTGAAATCTGTGAAGAAAGGTCTCGGAGAAAGAGACATTGCAGTGCGATTTGGAGGGGTGATGTTTACGCCCGGTCACTATGTTTACTCAGATCTTGATGGTATCATTGTATCACCTAAACAACTAACACTTGATGCTCCAAAGTTGTAATTGATGTCTTTTGAATGTTACAAAATGTAACTGTGTTCTTAGTATATTCCAAATAACTAGCTCAAGGTCAATTTATTGATAGATTAAAACAATTTGTAAACTTTGCCAAGATGGATTTTAGGGGCTATTTTGAATTCGTTTTGTACCAATGCAAACATCCAAGCCATCCTCACCCATTCAGCTTACTGCATTCAACACAACGCAACACAATGAAACGAAAAAATAAATAGATAAATAAATAAAATAAAACAAATTGAAACATTTTGTAAAACAAGCTCTTTGTTGGCCATTGCACATTATTTGAACCGAGGGAAATGAAATAAACTTAGGAAAATGTTTTTGAATGTTCTTGAAGGAAAATAAGTGCAAGATGGTGGCCAGTTTATTTGGTGATAATTTTTAATGATGTTTAAATCAGTTAAGAGATATTTTTGGTGCATAAGTGAAGCTAATGTCAATTAATATATTATGTTTGTTTACTCTGTTTTGGTAGCTAGCCTCATTGCTGAAGAATGACTTATTTGATTAAGGGTTGAGAACTATTGGGCAGACAGGGATCATTTTTGTGTCTTCCTTGATTTTACTGCCTGCACGTACCCAACATCTTCTATCTCTTTAATTGTAGATAGTGAGTAACCCAGCAGTGTGCAGCTGTTAACACAGTCATGGCAGCCACTACTCCATTGCATTTTCGATGGTTGTGAAATAGGTTGAGATAAAGTTTTGAATCAATGACTAGTAGATCTATGCTAATAAAACAATTAGATTGTGAAAAGTGAACTGATCAACATGACACGACCGTGGGACAAAGAAAAAATCTGAGTCCCCGACGGGAATTGAACCCAACCCTCCTTAACACCGCGTGGGCGCTCTATCCACTGAGCTACAAATACTTGTGGAGAGCAAGGTCATTTAACTGAGTTCATATTAATTATTCATTATAATTATTCATTATTCATAACAATTAGATTATTGGCTCTTGATTTCTATGCGTGATACATGCAGTAGACTTGGCTGTGCTGAACTTGGGGGGTTTGTCCACGAGTGACCTTTAACTCTTGTCATTTTCTTTGTCCAATAAAGAGCTTAGGCTGATTTTGATCAATAAATAATCGCTTGAGAACTTCTCTAGAACTAGGAGGAGGGCAGGGAGACTGAACATTCCACTTCAGTACCCTTCACGTTCTGGCTGAAACCCTCTGTTGGAGGGGTATGAATATTTTCTGGAACAACATAATCTGATTCACCTGCCTTTTTTGCAGTCTCCACCTTGCATTGTGCAGCTTTTTTTACTGCAAAATGCTAGAAACAACCATAAGCATGATGTTGCAAAGCATTTCCTTTTTTCTTCAAGTCCTTCTCTCAACACCTGGTTCCTTTTCTTCCTGCCATCCCCCATTGAATGAAAGGTAATAAACGTTTGATATTGTCTATTTTAGCAAATTTGATTCTGTGGCCACACCTAACCCTCACTGGCCATGTTAGGACTTAGGGATATTTTACAGTTTATATAATTTAAGCAGATTTGCAAAGAAAATAGGTCTGGTCTGAGATTTAATTCTTGTTACTAGAGGCTCCCATTCTTTTGCATTGTGGGGTTCCAGAAAATATCCATACTCTCCCACGGAAGGGATTGGAATTTCCTGGGGGATGGTGGGGGGTTCTATGTGACCAAAAATTTAAAGAAATGTATGAAGCTAGATTAACTTTAATTTCCAGAGGGGTGGGGGAGGTATGGATATTCTCTGGAACTACACATTTGGAGAGCATCAAAATGGGACATGCCATTTCCAAGGTTTCAATTATCTTTAGCTCAAATCTGATCCAATCTAGCCAACCTGTTACCTGTACAATGTCTTTAAGACCCCCAGAAAGGTGAGTTATTCATAACATTGATGGCTAAGTATTGTGGAATATAGAATAAAATTAAGCGGGTTCCGAATGGGGTAAAATTGGAACTGGCATTTGCCTACTTTTTCACTGGGAAAATGGGGTTTGGGTCTCTGGAACTGGAAAACAAAGTAACATAAAAATAACGACTGGACAAAAAATAGCCTGGGAAATGTGGATGTGGGCAAACGTTGGGCTGGGAAATGAATTCTTTTTTCCTCTGCCCACTTTTAGGAATGGAACGGGGAAGTCAGGTCGGGGTGATAATCAGGATTTCAAGAGACGGGGATTACAGTGATGGGGTAAATATCAAACTCCCCCTCCCAGAAAAAAAAAACCACCTAAGGCTGCCAGCCAAAGGGAAAATGTTAAAAAGTATATGTCTTAGAATTACAGCGATGTGTAGCCTTTGTCTTTTCTACAGAGTGCCTTTGCGAAAATTGGCATTTTTTTTCTATCAATGCAAAAACAAGCCGAGAATGATGCGTCGCCCATGTTTCCTCGCTGCCTTTCCCTACCCCACCCCGCCCAGTGACTTGGTACACACCTAATATGGTAATCACTCACTCGTCTGGTGAATGAACAGGAAGGAAAGCATGATGAATGTGTGACAGGAAGGTTTCGGATTTTTGGAGCGACGTTTGCTAAACCAAGACAACCTCCATCCGTGAAATTAGCAGCGAATTTGGTCGAAGAAACCATGACGGATGATTCAGCGGAGATAGAGCCGGCTCTCTTGGGTAATAACTGTCTTTAGAACGCGTGTTTTTCTCACACATGCAGAGGTTAAAATCTTGACTTCCGTCAGGAACCCAGTGGCATTATCAATGTTTTCACGTTTCTTAGTTTTGCCTCTCGATCATATCCACAGAAAGTGTGCAGTTGGCTATTAGAAGGAATATAGAATTGGCTTTTGTCAAGAAAGCGAAAGTTGAATTCAAAGGTGACCGGTCAGAGGCTCGAATCTTGGTGAGTAGTTATCCAACTAGTTTAATTTGTGTTTGCCCACAACACATTGAAAGGGTCGTAGCGATATCGATAGGCGAAAAAATAAAGACTCAAGCGGGGCTTGAATTTAAAACAACTGTCTTATACTGCTATGCGTTTGTGGTAGATTTATTTGTTCTCGAATCATAGATTATCCTTGAGTGCTGTAGTCTCGCCTAAGCATGATTTGCCGAGTCAAAACATTCCTGCACTTGCAATTGTTCTTTCAAACAAACCGCGCCGTGGGTAGGTTCTGTATGGTTTCCTTAGCGCCTGTCGGGACAGGAAAATAACAGAAAAACTCCTAAATTAAAACAGCGAGTCATCAGAAACTGTGTCTCTATTCAAGCTAAAGCGATACCTTGCTGTTTCGAAAGTGTCTAGATTTGTCAGACAAGATTATCGCCGACATGATGTCTCGCGCAAGTTCTAGGTCAGCGCTTATGATCTTGCTGAGCTAACAATATTACGAGTGCTTGGTTTGGGTGTGTGTGAATTATTTACTCTCGTTCAAGAAGCTCTACCGTCAGGATGAAAGTTCAAAATTTTAAAATTGCTACCTTCGCTCGCTTTTGTTGTCACTTGTTTTGATAACTTCCACTTTATTCCGATGTTTTTGGCATAATATTTTGGTTCTGTTTTTATTTGATTTACGAACAATCAACAAATTAGCCCATGATTAAAAATAGTGTGAAAGTGTGGATCGAAATTGTACATACTGTATGTATTGTAAAACTACATAATATGTGTACACAGCTAGTAAATACTTGAAAACAGAAATTAAATCTAATTTTGTGCAAAAATTTCAATCGAAAGCGTTTTGTATGCGCTCATAGGTCTGCTCTTTCCAGTTTACATTATACTTGTCTCAGTAATATTACAGGCCTCATTAATCAATGCTTTATTGAATAGCTATTTTTGAATGTATTATTTTCCTCTAGAAAATTACAAAATAATAATAATAATAGCAAAATGATAATTGGCAAAAGTTAAAATGAGACCTGAAACTAACTGTAAGATTGATTGATGTTAAAATCATTTGATCTTTTTTTTTTTAAATATCAATTAATTTTACAGTTGTTTTAGGCCTCGTTTTAACTTTTGTCAGTTTTATGATTTGAAATGCTACTGAATGACAATATTCAGTGATTAATAACAATAGCAATGACAACTGCACAATATGAGATTCTTGCTCAGCCTTTGTCCATTCAAACTTTGAGTTTGACACCTTGCATACAGTTGTGACTAGACATAACTGACAGTTACTTGTATTTTTAATCATTTTATTGCACTCAGAACATGATTCTCTTGTCCAGTACATTTAAAATTTAATTGAAAATATTGTGCAAATGTGGGTAACATCTAATTAATGTGCAATATTGAGATATTTTTTACATATATCTGACCCTCTTGTTATCTTTGTACTAATTCCGTTGTCTAGCATGCCCCTAAATGTTTTCTTAATTAAGTCTGAGGTTTGCACTTAAATGGTATTAACCAAGTGCGAGGATCATGCTGGGATAACATTGTCCTGTGATCTTGACAGTACACATTAGGGGCAGCAAGGTCGGTACAGAAAAAAGGCTGACATTCTCTTACTGTAGCACTACTCCAACCAAGCCTGGTTACTAACTAAAGTTATTTATTGTAAACATGACTAAAAAATTTCACGGAAAAATCCCACAGTCATAGACTGGAATGATGTTGTAAATGTTAAGCTGGCAATTCTGATTGAGAGCCAACTTTGCACCTACTCGCTTAAAGAAAGGCAAGAGAAAACAAAAAATAAAGATTTATGTGGTAGTTCAATTCTTTAATTCTTAAGGTATAAAACTACAAGAAAACTTTGAAGATTGAATGGTCAACACACATACACTGTACATTGCCCAGATAATCAGATGTAGATGGAGAATTTTGGAACAGCCCTAGAATAATTTGATTGGTTGATTTTTTTTTTGGCCCTCTGGACTAGCTTAGTCTTTTAGTAAGGTACAATGTATGACAAAGACCCAGGCTACCAAGTTTTTTGACCATTTTGATTTAAGTAGCCCAAGCATAAAGCATCAGATGGATCCACAAAATGTCAGAGGTCAGTACCGACTGAGGAGACACTTGGCTAGCTAATGAAATAAAAAGACATGCTGTGAACTTGCCCTGCCGGCTTTTCTTCCTTCTGTGATTTCTTCATTTTTTACCCAAAATAAAGGGGGGGGGGGGGTGGGCGCCCCCCTAGATCCACCACTGAATACATGTATATTGTTCTGGAAAAAATAAAAACATAAATTTCTAGTTTAAAAGCGAAAAGCAGACTATACATGTACTAGGGAATACATAATGTACATGTAAGACCTATGGGGCCATTCACAGTGCCTATATGTTATAGTTAATTGAAGTCTTCTTATAATGCATAATGTTCCTGCTATTAAATTGGTGTAAAACTGTGGATTCGTTAAAGAACCATTCTACAGCTGTACATGAATTTTTAATTGAAAGGACAAAAGGAAAGTTTGCAGGTGATATACAGTTGCATCTCCAGTTCTGCTCTGCTTGCCATGCTTGAAATCATGTTTTGTTTGCATGCATTCTACAGTTCCTTTAAGATCTCTGTTCAACTGATGTTGATCATGCTGCATGCAGCTTATTTTGTATTTATATGTAACATCTCGTGTATAAAAACAAGAGGTAGGGTTGACCAGAGTTAATGAGGCAAGTAATGCTTGTCACATTCTGGTAGCATGCATAAATTCATTATTTTAAGGTATTCAATCTGTTTTAACATGCAGTTTGGAGTTAACTCACATTTACCTTTTCTCCCATCTTTGGTTTTTTTTTAAATCAGTTGGTTTGATAATTTTTGTACAGTAGACCTACTGTGACATAATTTTCTTTTCAAAAAAACCTTCAGATGCAGGTGCTGTTAATGTTTCAAACTAAATTAAGGCTTTATAGACAGTGGCTTTAATTTGTTTGCAAAATTACCTGCTGTTTGTTATGTGCCATTGTATAGTTTTCTTTGTTTGTGTAATAGTTGAGACACATTTTTTTAAAACAATGGTTTTTACTTCAGGCCCTTTCTACCCACCGACTTTATGTCCTTACGAGCTCCAAGAATGGCTGCAAGGTATGTACCTGGAATAATTAGTACATAATATATCTTGTTGTCCAAGTCTGTTTTAGTTTGAGCAGACTAAGATGTACTGTACATCTGAACCAAACTAGCATGGCACATTGTAATTGTGAATTTTGTTAGTTACTAATTATAATTAATTTTAAAACATCCAAAAAGCTACTGAAAATGGCAATTGCCTGGAAGCAATAAAAAATGTGTGAGGCGGTCTAGATTTTAAGCAAATTACACCTGTCCACAGCTTTAATAAATCCAAGGCTGTCATAAGTTTGAGTCGCCTGTGTCCTTGATCTTCACAGCCGTGACAGTCTTGTTACTTTGTGTATGAATTACATCAACAACTAGAAAGTTCACCCGCGGCATCAAGGATCCGTCAAGCATACTCAGCTATAAATATATCTTATTAGATGTTTTGGTGTGTAATGTCACTGTAAATTTTTACGAGTTGTGCCGTTTTTTGACGAGCCCATAGGGTGAGTCAAAATACAAACAACGAGGAAAAATGTAAAGCAATACTACACACCAAAGCATCTAATAAGAGATTTATTATCCAATTGCTGTAGTCAATAAATTTACTAGTGAAATAGGGAGAGTGTGACAGTTTTGTGTGCACGTGCCAACCTGTCCGGCAAACAGGTTTTCTACTGTACAAATAACTGTACAATATCGCTGTGTATTTGTACTGTTATTTGGACAGTATTGGCTGCAGTTGGATAATGACAGGTGTTATATGGGTAATGACCCTCAATGACAGCCCTGAAATCAGGTTGTGTGATTCAATTCATGGTCACCTAGGGTGCTTACTATTTAGCCAGAAAATCTAGAAAATGTTAGTGGAAGGTCATTTGGAACATTAATTTCCCAGAAAATCCATTCAGTAACTCCAAGAGTTAGTCCTTTCTTTCTGTTCATAACAAAATGGCAGAAATATCGTTCCTTACCTTTTGCTGAATTCCCCAGTTTCTAGTCTCTTATTGATGGTGAAACATAATGGGAAATCAAATTTTAAATGGTAAGCACCATCTTGCGTGGTTGGTTTTCTGATTTTGGAAAAACCTCAAGTTTGTAAGCCATTCTTCAATGGACATGCATGCCAATGAGTTCGACTCTCTTGCAAAACAAACAAACAAACAAACAAACATTGCTGTTTAAGGTGGCTGAACACAGCTTTGATACCTGTGTTTCATTCACCTTTTTCTCCAAAACCCTTGATCTCTTGGTTGCCAAAAGTGGCAGCAAGCAAGTTAACAACACAAACTTTGGGGTTTTTTTTATGGTTAAGCTGATGTATGTGCCGTTACCATGGCAGCATGAATAAATATAAACAGGCCTTTAAAATCGGTTTTGTTTATTTGTAGAAAATCTAGTCATTAGATTTTCTTTATAATTTGCATGCAACAAGCTTGTAACGATTGTCTCAGGTTAACACCATTTTGCTAATAATTTAACAGAGATCTTAAATTATCCCTTGTTGAAGGTTCACTGGAATATCTAGAATTTCCTTTGTTAAAGTTCAATTATTTTCAATACTCCAGTTACATATTTCCTAAAGTATTTTTGTGCAAAATGCTAATGAGCGGTTATCGAGAAATAGGCATATTTCTGAGAGTTCAATTTTTCATCCAATTGCATTTTTTTTTGACTTACTACGCATGCACTGCATTTAACTGGGTTCTTTTGGTAACAAAGAAAAAGCTGATAATTGCTGGGTTCTTTGCATCGTTACTAAAGCCATCAATACACTGCATTCAGTTATAGAGAAAAGTAACACAGATAGTGCAAGTGTTGAGTAAATTAAATGATTGCTCTATTGACGGCATGTTTGTTTTTTGCAATACTTGTGTGCACACTGAATTGCATCAGCAACAGCGCATGCGAAAACTGTGTTCGGCCACCTTAACAAGGGCGTATTCAATGAGCTTTACTTGCATATATCTTAATAACATTTTGGTTGCTTAATTTTCTCTTTCAGGTGGATTTTAGCATGCATGTTTTGGAAATACAGAAAATAGAGAGTAGTAAACCTCTTCTGGTATGTTTTACTAGTCTGCAATTTACATGCACTAAAATTGGCATTTTACTAATCCTCGTTTTACGAGTCAATGTTTTGCTACATGTAACTTTAAGTTAAATCTGTGTTTTGCTAACCCAGTCTAGTACATGTACAGTCCAGTCTATGAAATACAGTATGCCTATATCAAGTCCAAATCATGTACATATATAGTTTATAGATCTACAGATACAATGTACAATTGTATCTTTGGACCCTTTACCTTTATGCAAACACTCTTCTTTGTCTTGATTCCTGAACACAGTGTTGATGTTGTTCCATCTTAGTTTATCTTAGGCCCAAGATTCCAACATTATCTTTAGGGGAGGGGATGTCAGGAAAAATGAACGGGTTATTTGTTGCTAGATGGTATTTTTTCTAAAATTGTCCTGAAAGCATTTGCCCACTACATGTACAATTTTACACAGTTCGAGTTCATGTTGGATATACATACGTGTGCATGCACATGTACATCATCAGGGGTTTTATTAACATTTCCAGCAGGAGGGTAACTGGTTTTCACAGGCAGGCAAAACTGTTAGAAGTGAACTTCTTTATAGGAAAAATGTTCTGCTGGATGGTCAAACTAGGTGGGCAAAATCGTCCTCACAGCCGGTCAATTTGTCTGGTCCCTGGCCGTTAATGAAACACCTGCATCATTATGTACGTTATTACATGCCCTCACTTGTACCCTTTCACTATTAGAGGAATTACAAGGACGTGTAGTTACATTTTGTATTGTACACATCCATGCAAGCTCTTTAGTATTAAGAATTTGATTGAGTGACATAGTTTTTCCTTTTGTTGTAGTTAACTCTACTATGTGGAGAAAAGTCCCATTATTTCCGAGTTCTTCAACCAAAGGATTGTACAGAGATTATTGCTCATATCTTAGCTTCTCTTAAATCTAACTTTCCATCTGGAAATCCAGAGTGAGTATAATCCTGTACATGTACCATGTATGCTGCACACCTGTAACATATAGCATAGGGTCAACATGCAGTTAATTGTTCTAATGTCAACAGACAAATGTACTGTCTAGTGCTGGCAGGGTTTAATACATGTACAAGGCATTGCATGTGTATGTACGTACATGTGCATGACCTGGGCTTCATTTGAGTGTAGCTGTACTTTACTGGGTTCTGGAAACCAATTCAAGTCAAGAACGTTCAGCGTTAAATGTAATTAGTCAGTTGAGTGCCTGCTTAATTGACCAGTCAGAGCTTTGTACCAACTGAAAGATATCATGAATGATTGCAAACTTCAGTGACGATTACATGTACTCATTACAATTGTTGTTTTGTAATCTTAGTCGTCTTCTCAGAGTGGTCTATGGACCACCAGAGGAAAGTGATGCACGACAAGCACAGGTCACAACACTTGTCAATAACCTGCGAAATGCAGGAGGAGAAGTAGAGTCTGGGCCTTGTGGTGAGTGTCAGCGGCTTTACTCAAATTTGGCAGGATCTTTTCTGATAGTGCATTTATTGGAAATGTATCATTCTTCTCTTTACTTGTATATCACTACTGTATGTGTTATGTTTTTCTTCCTGCAGGCCATGCCCACAGCATCAAACTAGATTATGTTGATTATTTTGTTTTTACCAATAGCATTCTTACTTTATTGTTTATTAGGTGGATTTTCCAAAGTATATGTTTCCATGTGTGATTTTTATGGACAGCCACATTTGGAAGAAGTTGTTTGGGTATGTACTTGTTATCAAAGTGAACAAAGAAATTGTGTGTAATATTCAGAAGGTCAGATGGTCTTTTTGTGTGGCAAAAAGACATGTACAGGAAACAGCTGTTGAGTGTACATGTTCTTGGTACTTGACTGGGTGAATGTACAGTACACTGTACCTGGAGGAAAATCTTAGCTGTAAGAAATTATGAGAGGCACCTGCAAGCTGCATGGCCTTGCCACAGTGCATTGGAAAGGTGGAGAATTTAACACTTCTTTTTCTTTCTTTTTCTTTGAACTTTATCTTCAGGATATTGACACAATCTATTTATCACTCAATACAAAAGAGTTAAACATTCAAGACTTTGACCACCTGGAACACAAGTAAGACTTTTTTTTTTGCGGCAGGGTAGCAGGGGTTTTCAGTGTTGCACAGAATTTCTCATCGAGTTCTTTGCTGGAGAAGCAAATGTTAAATAAAAATATGTCAAACTTAAAAACTTTTAATTAGAGACGTTACCTGTAGTTCTTGCAACAGCAATACTATGCTTTAATTAAGAAAGAAATGTCAAGTCACATCTTATATGGCTAGCCAATTTACATGAATGTGTTCTGCCCCTTTCTTTGTTGCTGAAATTCTGCTGCAAGATGCACAGCCAGCCAGTCGATAGACCATTCATGCCATGCATATGATCTTGATCTTTCAGGGACTTGGTTCCACTTATTTCAACACTGGAGTACAATGACTGGTTTACTAAGCTGACATGTGACTCATTTCGACTGGTACTGTATGTAGCATAGCCAGGGAATTTGTGTGACCAAAATCTATAGTGTGACTGTACATCCATAACTCGATAAACACTTGGGAGTTTGGAGAGCACTCATGAAGCTGCTGACAGTAAAGTTGCTATTGCCTATGCTTTGAGCAACTCTAATATGCTTCTCTCATGCTCTTGTGGAGTTTGGATTGCACTCTCCAAGCTAGAATTGCTCTTAACTTTCCTGTGTACATCTATATGTGTAACTTGATAGACACTAGTCAAGCGTGAACTTAATACATGTAATTATTTTAATTTACAAACTGCATGGCTCAAAATAAACATCACTTACTTCTGAGTAGTATAACATTTAGTGAGGGAGCATAGTATGTGCATACCCAGTAAGTTGTATATCATACTGTACATGTACTAGTCTTAATACCATGATCTAAACAATCCTATAGGCCTGAGCTAATATACCGTTGTTTTCGTTACGCTATAAAGCAGAAATTACATGTAAAAAGGTACAAATAAGATGTTGAACCCTGTAAAAGAAAGTGAACTTACTTACATGTAGCTTAGCTGTGGACAGGGAACAATTTTTGCTGGAAATAATGGCAAGGATCATGTCTTAGGTCTGCTATATTCAGTAGTAAATAAAATAGTTGTTGATACATTTATTTTTATTACCAAAGGGATCTGAAGTGTGTGATGCAATTGTCAGAATTATGGTAAAGTCATCCACAATAGAAGAATTAGTCCTTGATAGTGCCAGTTTTGGCAGGTAAAAAATAAAATTTTTTTTTTTTTTAAAATTAGTATTTTAACAGCAAATTCAGACCAGTTTCATGACACATAAACAGTGCCCATGCTTGTTGAAGGCCAGATAAAGCAACATACAATAATGTTCCTCCTTTGGCAAGCAAATTTTAATGTTGATCACATTTTATTTTTCCTCTGGAGCTCATGCTTGCTCAGACCGCAAAAGTTAAATACAAGTAGGACATTTTATTATTAATAAGTGCTTACGTGTAGTGTTTCCATAGAGCAGTTTTCAATTGAGTTTCATTAAACCAGCTGACATGAAAGTGCAGGAATAAGCATGTGCTAACGAGTCACACTTTTGTTTGGTTTTACTTTTGATTGGATGAAAAAGATACATGTGTAACTTTTTTTGAAACCAATTGTAGCATAGTGATGCAGAACCAATAACATTTTGACACTCGAGTGAAAGCTGCTCTAAATGTATAAGCACAAATTATGGGTACAATAATTTTCTTGAAATTTTGATTCCAGGGAATATTGTCAGAAGCTGGCATTGGCTCTTACATCAAACCCCAAAACATCTTTGCATTCATTGAATTTAAATGGTAACTCCATCGAGGACAGAGGTGGGTGGTTCTGGTTTAATTTGTGGATGGTGTTCTGTAAATGCTGGCATTTTGTTTTACTCTATTAGAGATATGAAGTGAAATCAAGGCAAACCTGTTTAGTGCCTGGGTTATCAGCTGTGACTTAAATGTTGCACTCTTTCTTTTTTTTTTTCTGGTGGTTTAGTTGTTAATTGTTTAATTCTCTCATTATTTTTGCTTGTAAGGTTCAGTGCATTTGTCTGGTGTCTTCAGTAAGCTTCCTCAGGGTTTGGTGTGTCTCTGTCTTGCTGACAATGGAATTACATCCAAAGGTAGCAGTAATAGACAGTTTTATTAATTTTGTGAGTGTTGTTGTAATCTGTTCATTTCCATGTGTACTGTGCTTGACCTGATATCTGCTTTTCTGTAGAATAAGATACAATATTCTTAATGACTCATTCTAAACGCATTTTTGTGTGTGTGTTTCACAGGAGCAAGCTCACTGGGTCTGGCATTAAAAAGCAACAAGTATAATGAAAGCTCCCTACAGAGGTAAGCATTTCTTACTTACTGTAAATCCTCGAATTAGCAGGCCCAGGGTGCTTATTTCAAATTTAGGAGAAAATGGAGGGTGCTTATTTGAAGGGGGTGCTTAGTTGAGAAGGCACTTAATCAAGGGTGGGGTGGGGGGGAGGGCACTTATTTAATTTTTCCCAAATCGTGGCCTGACATATCATTTTTTTAATACATCATCTGCGCACAAACAACAGCATATTAAGCTGTTTATCAACATAAAAAGCTGATCCTAAAATTTTATTTTCAGCACCATTAGTACTTGTAATTTTTTTTTTCCAAACTTAACATGTTCACAAACCGAAACAATGTACAAACCTAATACTACATGACCAAAACTATTTAGTATCACCCAGCTAGTGGACTAATGCAAATCCTGCATTTTGATTGGCTATGCCACTAGAGGAATATTAGTAATAGTCCTCGAGTAGCGAAATTGGCGCAATCGAGCATGACGCTTTCTTTCGTTTTATTCCCAAATAAATATTTCTTCAACCTGTATTTGCTAACTTTATTATTGCCTTTTCTGTCCGACTAGTTGGGTGATACTAAAACAATTAGACCCTTCGCCCTCAAGGGCCACGGGTCTAATTGTTAAATATCCTTTGCTGTTTCATTACTCGTCCACAAAATGGGGGGAGGGGAGGGGGTGCCTATTTAAGAGGGTGGGGGTGCTTATTTTAAATTTGGATGCTTATTTGAAGGGGGCATTTATTCGAGGGAGGCGCTAATTCGACGATTTACGGTACATGAAAATGGTCATCACTAATTGTCTAGTTCAAAAGCTGTTCAAATATCTTAGGATAATGGTGAGAAGGGTCATTTATTTACAATTGTCAATTTTTCTTTCAGACTGGACCTTAGCAAGAATCCTTTTAAAGGAGATGGGATAGCTGTAAGTTATTTCCAGGCGTAAACTTGGAAAAACTTCTGATGATAGTCTCAGTTAAAGTCAAAAAATAATCTGAGCAGGGAAAATATACCCCAGAACCTACTTTTAAAGATTATGTTGTGGGGTTTTTGTGACTACAAAACACTGACCCTCCTAGTTTTTGCAAACTCTCATCATCTCTGAAGAAAAGCTCTGGACGGAACGTTTTCCTTCAAAACAGCGAGAAGGAAACAGCGCACGAGAATTTCTGCACTGCGTCCCAACTAACTGAACGCGTGGAAGAGGCTAAGTAGGCATAGATGTTTCTCATAATTATGAGGATGAATGTTTGCAGTGCTTTGTGCTGAACAAAATACTAAAGACAACTGTTTTGCAGTCTTTTGTGGAGAGGGTTTGCTGTTGGAGACTGTACATGTCCATGTGTATAGCTACATCATGTATATTTAAAGTGCATCCTGTTGAAAAAAAAAAAAGATTCATCAAGGTCCTGTTGTTGATTGACATCCATTTACTGAACATCCAAGTCTTCATTTAGGGTTACTATTAATGTGTTTGTTTGTTATGCTGGTGCCAGCTGTTATTGATGGTGAAGCCGCATAAAGTCACAAACATCTGATTTGTATTTTCCTAGACCTTAAGTAGAAAGTGCTATTTTTCTTAGGGTCTGTGCGATTTCTTGTCAAAGCCAAACATGCTGACCCACCTGGATCTCTCAGCAACTGAATGTCCACTTGACCTGGTAACAATTAGTATTTACAATCGTTACTTAATAATTCATTATCTGAGTGGCATACATGTAAATTTTTTAAGGAGACTCATAATTTGTTTAATTTTGAGTAACACGATACCTGCATTGATTCAGTCAGACTTGTTTTGCCTACTGTGGAATATGTTATTTCTCTTAGTTATTTGGTGCTCTTATTCGAGGCTGTGCTCAGCAGTTAGCATCTATCCACCTTGCTGGAAACAGTTTTACCACAAAGTAAGAAGATCATGCATTTTATTTGTGCATGTTTATTTTTGAATGTGATATGCAAAGTACACTTAAACAAAATACATGCACTGTATGTTGAGGTAATTCCTCTGAAATTAAAGTGACAATAGATTTTTGTTCAAACTTTGTCCACTGAATATTTGTCATATGATAACTTCAATTTTGAAAGAAAAAATGGGGGTGCCCATGCTCATTAAGGAGCAGTGAGGCATTGAAAATGCCCCATTTTGGCATTATTTAATGCTTATTGTAAAAACGTATTCCCAGTAATTGT